CCCCATAGTGACCACAAGGCTGCATGCCAGAGATTCTAGGGGCGTAATGGTAACCGTTCGAGTTTTAGGGAATTTAAAATCGATGTACCACGCAAACTGACTATGAACTGATCTAACAACATTTAATTTTAACTGGGGGTTTGTGTGCGATGTGTCTGTGCCATATTTGGTCTAGAATACTTCAGCTAGTTGCGCGTTTCTTATTCTTACCAGCGGTTATAAATATCCAACAAAACAAAAATGTTAATTTTAGATGTTAAACTTGCGCAAGAACCATCTTTGATTCAAGCTAAAAATAACGTTCCTTATACAAAAGCGAATTGTTTTGAACGCCTCCACCCAGATCCCAGACACAGGCTACACCGAAAGAGAAACGAACCAGGACTATCACCACTTACCCATTTCAAAATAAATAAATTTGTTTGTTTCTAATTTGAGTAACATTAAATTAACCTCGAGTTTAAAATATTTTGATCCGAAAATAAATAAATGGAGAGTTTTACGTGCAAAAACCCCGTCGCGTTTCCGTTTTAATCAAGATATTGTTATAAAATCTCCGACGAGTGACAAAACTAAATGCACAATAAAACGATTACTAACAAATGTTCACGTGGCCACGGTCGTAAAGTTTCATTAGCCAACACTGAATTTAACTAATGTCACCACTATGTGTAATTGTGTACACATACTACCTCTATGGAGGCCCGTAATGTATACTTCAATATTCAAATATATCTGACTCACAAATCTGAATTTATTACGTCTGCATTAGTGAACGTCATCGCATGATCGTAACTAATATCCATCCAGAGACTTTTAATACATGTTTTTATAATTGGTTAATGTGGACATTTATTGATAAAACTGCCTGTTAATACCTTAACGTGTATTTTATGTAATGCATTTATATGCACGAAAAGCGATATAGGAATGCATCACCTAAGTGTACTTAACCACAACATACTTCCTCATTTATCTCGGAATACTAAATAAGTCACCTTATCGCGATGCAATATCATTAATATTAATGCATCCTAGGATTTGTAATGATTTTTTTAAATTTTGTTATTCACGGTGTACACAAATTTTCCACCTAATCGATTTAGGTATATTAAACCACGCAATTTGAAGTAAGTAATGAAATGTTCTATATATACTTGATGGGGCAGCCTCGGCAACGTTCACTATTAGTAATTGAAAATGTAACGCTAATGAAGAGTTTGTGCTTCTTCTTTTAGATACATTAATGACGATAACACTAATGGTTAAATCGATAATTATTCATTTGCCTTCCATACGAAATTACCCAGTCGTTAATACGCTTTCCGTTTTTTGTAAGTCAGTTTTCCATTACACGGTTTACAAGGAAAGCAACTTGCCAATATTTTGACGCAATTATAACGGAACGTATGAGCCTATCCATTTTAATAGATTGTATTGTCGATAGTTTCGACATTAAAAATGCGTGTCCATGCGGTAATCATCATCACATGCGTGTGAACGATGAACATTAACGAACGCATACACAACATTTCATTACTAATGCGCAGAGCTGGGCACAGTTAATCGAAAAGTTAACTTCGTTAATCGTTAATCCGTTATATGAAAAAGTTAACTTCGTTAATCGTTAATGCTTTCGTTTTTTGAAAATGTAACGGAAGTTAAAGTTAATCAGTTAACCGTTAACTGTCAAAAATTTTGAGGTTACATCAGTGAATTAATGGAGGATTCTATTGTAAATCAAAAACGCAACACATTATTTCATTTATAATGATATATTAAGCGTAGATGTAGTATTTTGTATTTATTAATATTAAAATATAATATAATAATAATAATTAATAAATAAAAATAGGTTAGGTTCAGGTGTAAACGTGTATTGTATCATAGCGTTAAGCGTAGGTAGGGCAGGCTAGATAGAGAAAATAAAAACAATGAGAAATATAAAATTTATTGTATTTTAAGTACAGCCATTTTTGTTTATTGCATAAGAAGAATTGTGATGGAGCTTAAGGAAAGAAGAAAAGGTAGCGAAGTACGATGTATGTACCTTACGCCAGAAAATCTTCATCTTGCATAAAGTGGATGTTCCCCTTCATGAACATTAATATGTTGAAAGTTTCATCAGAGAGGGATGATCGTTTAGCCCGCAAAATATCTTTACCCGTGGAAAAAAGACGTTCCACTGCAGCACTAGAGGGAATAGCTGTATTATATTTAATAAAGAGATTTATTAAAACTGCTTCTCCTAGGAAGGCAGCATCCGTAACAGAATCCTTCGACTTCGCATCTAACCAGGTTTTCACTAAAGTCTGAGCTTTACTTTTAAGAGATTTGTGGCCCATCGATTTCTCAGCCGATTTAGTAACAGTAGTGAAGAAATCATCCTCTTCTTCCTCATTATTACTACTTCCACTGATGCTAGCTTTCTCATTTTCGTTGCTTTCGCGCATTTGAGCAAATACTTTCACCTCCATACACTTCGTTACTGCTGTTACCTTGCTACTGTCATTTTTTTCTAGCCATATCAGCCGGAATCTTGGGTGAAAGGCTGCTGCAAGCAGGCATTCCTCATCCTCCATAAGAGGGCCAAACCTTTTTTCTATGCCGGTTAATAAAGCACTGGCCAAAGCAGTACAGTACACAAGACCGCTTGACTGAATATCCTTCAATTTAAATACTGTTGCAGCAACCGTGGGAAGGAGAGACCCGAGATATGCTTGAGCTTCTCCTTGAACTTGATCTAGCGCTCGAGCCACCGGTGACATGACCTGCCATCAAATAAAATCAAATAAATTAAAAATGATTGATTTAATTTAATATTAATGCTAGATATTCATTTGATTACCTTCACATACTCTTTCAATATGGTCACATCTTGATCATTGAAAGTTCGAACCTTCAGCTGAGTCATCACTCTATGAAGGGCAGGTCTTTTTGCTTCTAAAATTGCGTTGAGAACAACAACAGCATCAAACGTTGAGTTCCATCTTGTTGTATTTGGAAGTACCAGCCTCCTGCCCAACTCAGTATTAATGCAATCGGCCGCCACCGTACTACGCGACTGCAAATTCCAAAGAGCGCGTGATTTTGCCATGGCAATTCTGTACGGACCTTTGAAAACAGAATTTTGTAGTGCAGCGTCTGCATCTTTGCTTGCCACTAAGTTAAATGTGTGAGCAGCACATCTCATGTGAACTGGCAAATTATTGAAGTTCTCAAGTGTAACATCATCATCATTGTCGTTATAATTATTATTTTCAGACATAACAAGTACATTTTCGAGTGAAATATACTCTAACTCCTGTTCTTCTGCAGTTTCTGCTAAGAGGGCACTAACGGGATTGTCGAGATTAGAGTCCATATCATGTGATGGTATGATGTCGTCGATGTCTGATAGTGGCAGCGAATTCAGCGATAGTGTATCGGCTGGTATTTCAGAGCCAAATTGAACAAATGCCTTAACAAAATTGCTGCCATTATCGGTGGTAGTTCTAAAATTTAATTATAAATAAAGATATCAATGATAAGTAGGTTTCCAACTAACCTGGTTACTTTTTTGTCAATATGAAACTCGTAGTGTGTATTTATCATTGTCCGGGCGAGTACATCATATGAATGAACACCTTTTAACCTGGTGCAAGTTAACACTGCACGCATTCTCGCTCTGGTAGCAGGATCTAACCAATGGGCAGTCATGCCCAAGTAACTTTTGTTGTGAGCAGACCAGCAGTCAGCCGTTGTAGCCACCCAATCAATTTTATCAAGTATTCTGAAATATACAAAGTTATGCAATATTTCGTACACTCAAATCCTTCAATGGAAGTACTTACTTGATCAAGCGCTGCTTTAACAGAGTGTGAGAATCAGCGATACGCCTGCCTAATGTCCTTCTCGAGATCGTACTCTTGCTAGGGTTCAACGTTTTAATAAGTGTATTAAATGTATCAGATTCGACTACATGTAGTGGAATCATGTTAGTCACAAAAAAGTTTACAATACACCGATTCACACTAGCTTGGGGTACCGCACTTCCAGAAGCTACAATGCCAAACGATTCCCCAATGCTTTGCTGGCGTACTTTCTTTGTTGATGGTGGTGAAAGAAAATGACTGCCACTGCTGTCAGCATTAGAATCGATAGTACTTGTATTTGAAGAGTTTGGCCTCTTTTTTATTTTCCCACGAGTTGACCCGGCCTTTACTATTTCTTCAAACTGTATATATTTAACTGGATGCATCCTCTTTACATGCTGTTTAAGGTTGTTCAAACTTGAAACGTGAGCCTTGATTGTAGATGTTTTAGGCAAACACAGTTTGCACTCGTAAACCAATGTATCCCTTAATCTTGCTTTATACGCAACAAATCCACTTAAATGTGGCCAGGGATTCTGTTGCGGTTCATCACCATCACTAGTGCCGCCGCTTGCAATCTCCGTTTCCGTTTCAATATGAATATCTTGACTTGGTTGTGGTTGCATGATGTAGTATACTATAGTAATTGAAAAACAAGGTTAGGTTTTCACTGTTTACCAATGAACAAATTTTTGTTCATTGCATACACTGTTGCCAACACCAACACAATGCAAATGCAAATCCAGTGCCGTGCATATGGCACGGCGCGCGCCCGCTTTAACTTATCCGAGTAACGGACTTGTTAACGGAAGTTAAATTTAACGGAAGTTAATAAGACCGTTAACAGTTTTTGCGATTAACTTAAAAGTTAATTAGTTAATCAATATGTTAACTTCGTTAATTAACGATTAACGGATTAACTTTTTTCTGCCCAGCTCTGCTAATGCGTGGCAAAGTAATAATGTATCAACAAAAATTAGGCATTACAATCAAACGACAAACTCGTTACAATGGGTATAATTAAGGTACCACTTTATTTATGGGCCTGTTTTGTTTCTAACGATAAAAAAGATACAGTAACCGATTACATTCGAACATTAAACGACATTCAATAATAAGTAATATGGTAATATCCAAGTTTCCTACCTGGATCCGAGGCATCTAGACTTTGTTGCGAACCGGGCGCTTGTGAAAGAGGTCCTGGTGTTCCTGGTGACCGCACGTCGTCGTTCACAGGTCCCCCGTACGACATCGTCGACGAAGGCGGTCTCTGCAATCAAACCCAACACTTCGCATATAAATTGTGGTTATATCCCAGCAAAAATACGTTTTATTGAAATTTCTATTCTTATACATGGGGACAGTGCTCTGATTCAATTTTAACTGAATATCAAGGTACCATGCTTCAGTTTCCAAAATATGACTAATTAGACTATATTTAACATATAATTTGAGGATTTTGTTTTTCTTCTATTTAAATCCTAAAGAAACTAATTACAAGCAGCGCGGAGATCCTGTAGAAATAATTCTTTCATAAACAGTTTTGAGCGCAACCCACAAAAGTATTTAGATTTTTAGCTAGCGCGAACTAGGTGGCTATTACAACACCCCGTTTTTTGGACATGTAAAAGTTTCATCAAATGTAGACGTTAAGCAACTTGTGAAGAATCATTTTTTTCCGTCTGATTTTTTTCAAATTTTGAATATTAGGCATACGGAAACAAAAAATAAGGGTTCGGTTTTTTGAAAAAAAAGCAACGGCATCGAACTTTATTTTTCAAATAGCCACCTAAAATTTTTACTAAGTTATTTAAAAAACCTTATTTTTCTGTGTACAACGTCCAAAAATTGTGCCAGGTTATATTTTTAAAAAGATAGAAAAAATGTCAAAGTTAAGAAACTAAAATGTATTTTGTCGGTAAAACGGTTACCGAGATTTCGTTAAAATTTGGCGAATGTACCTTAAGCAGCAAGGTTGTAAGACTATCAAAAACATGTTTTTATATTTGAGTTTTTAGCGCCATGACGTTATACAACTTTTTTCAAATAGTAACGCAAAATTTTTATTAAATTATTACAAAACTTTCTTTTTCTGTGCCCAATCTACAAAAATTAGTAACAAAAAAAACGAAGAAAAAATGTCAGATTTAAGAACTAAAATATTTTTTTCAGAAAAACGTTTATTTTCAATTAGTTGAACTTTTGGCAGTGTACATTAGGCATAATAGTAATATAATAATAATAATATATTTATTTTATCTCGATTACGGCAATTTACAGTATAGATCCTGTCAATAAAAAATACACGTAAATAAGGACAATAAAACCAATATAAAACAGCGCAGATACAAATGTATCCCACAAATGCAATTTTCTCTTTTACTATTTGAATGAAGACCCAACCGCCAATACCTGTTTCTATTACTGCATTTTGATATAACGACATCTTCTGCAAATTATTATTTGAACAGAAAATTTGACAATCACATCGTTATTTGAACGACACATTAAACAGGGAAAAATATTTCGTTGGCGAGTTGTCGCAGTGGTGAGTCGTCCGTTGGCGAGTTGTCGCATTGGCGAGTTGTCCCGTTGGCGAGTCAGTCGGTGGCGAGTGGTCCTGTGGCGAATCGCCCTTGGCGAGTTGACGCGTACCGTTGAAATATGTAGATCCCGTAAACAGTTAAGATTTTTAAAATGTGTGCGACATGATTCGAGGGGGCGGGCGCGAACAATCGCCCTAATGATTCTTTTTAGGACATTTAATACTTGCCTTGCCATTGAACTTGTACACCAGTGGATGTCCCCGTACAATAATCTGGATTGTACTTGTGCATTATAAAAAAGTAAAATTGTTTTGGTACCTTGCTTTAGTTTATCTTTTGAAATTTCTTATAATTGGCTTTGCTGTTGGAATAAATTATTGTTATTATTTTTATTATTTTAGGTATAGCTTCGACGCCTCGGCCTTCTCGCCATTCACACCCACTTCCAAGGAAAAGTAAGTACTCTTCTATACTTTTATATTTTACTGTACATCCCTATCGATTTTAGGAATCTTAGACCATTCTCTAAATTTGATGAGTTGGTAAGATTGGTTCTAACGTTCGCCTTTAGGCTGGTTTACATACTCTACAGCTACACAGTCACATATCACAGAGAGATCGACGTTACCAGTATTGCATCGCGGTCTAGGATCACATTTGTATGTCCTATTCTTATCTTTATTTGTTGCCCTCTGTGAAAGCCTTTCAGGTGCAGTTTTTCTTTCACCGATGGTTTAATACATCATAGGTGCGGGTATTTTGCCTTTCCCATTTATATTGACAGGTCTCTATGCTTTTTCGGGTCAGATGACATTGTACGTCCGCCGTTTTGACAGCTCCTCATTTATTTGTGGACCTGCTATTGCACTTTTTGCTGTTCTAGGTGCGGCCACGTTCGATTATAAGTTTCCCGATGTCATTCTCTTCGTTTAAGTTCGTAAGTTTGTTGGATGGTTTCCCCTGCAGTTCAAGCATATACCACTGGAGTATCATATCGATTACACTCGTCGAGTGGTTTTCCGCATACACAAAGTTATGCTTGCGGCTCTCACATCTAACGACGGTGTGTCCAAACTTCTGGCACCGATAGCATCGCATTGGCGCAGGGATGTAGGGCCTCACGCTTAAGCTGTAGAAAGTAGTTTTAATTTTTTTAGGAAGTTGCATCGACTTAAACGGAACTATGAAATTGGTTGTGGCTATAAGCTTCTTATTCTCGTAATTGCCACTTCATTCTCCTCTCTTAACCCTTGAAGAATTTCCTCTTCATCACAGTTTAACAAGTCTTGACAAATTAATCATTTTCAATGTTTCATGTGGTTTGACCTAACTCACTCCTGATCAGTGTGTGGTGTCGCAGCTATATGTAATTTGAAATAAATATTTTTTTATGATTTCAGTAATTAAATATAAAATAATTTTAACAATTTGTTAATTTTGTATTCAAGGTAGATCGAAATAGATTACATTACACACACAAAATTAATTTAATTTACCTACGGTGCAAATAGAGCGCACCAGATCTACCTATATTCATTTAATTCTTACACTTAGTATCCATATTGGGGTTGTGATTAATAGTCCATCCAATCAATAAAATAACACAGGTCAAGGACATTAAATACTCTATTTAGTAACGAAGTTTTAACTCGAAAAACACAAATAAGAAACGTATTTGTTTTGTCAAGAATATGATTTAATGACGTTCAAGTTTGATTTAAAATTTGGTTAGATAAAAAAGTTTGTATTGTAACCGCACCTGAAATGTCAAACTCCACAAAAAATTTTGAATGTCATTTCTTAATAGATGCTATTTAAGTTACCTAATTATTTAAAAGGATCCATAGGGGTGTGTACCTATTCGTTTAAAAGAATCTCGGCACGTATAAGATTAAAACATCAGAATTTTTGTGAACTTCGGTATAATTGGGAAAAAGTTTTGAGATACTTATGTGTTACATCCTGTATAGCGGCAATGAACTAACTGCCCGAGACGGCATTCACGATTATGTGAAAATGCATTTCTCATTTAAGTTTATCATGATAACAACGCTAGTAGGAAAAACATTCCATAATCCTTCATACTAAACAGACTGCTACATATTAATTTCTACAAAAATCCAATTCTCAGTATTCTGAAGTTGGGATGCACTATGAAAAGTGGCATTATTGATGTGTAATTTGACGGAACTCTCTCACGAATTTTGTACATGCTACGCCATATACTTAGATATTATTGCCGTTGTAGGTAATAACGTTGAAAGAACAATCGCTAATTAAGACCTCAATAACTTAGTTTATTGCAAATTTAATAGCCAATAAATGAAATGGTAATGTTTTATTAATAAAAGATTCTTTAAAAAAGTCTCCAAGCCTATAATTGACGGCAAGAAATACAAGGTTAATTTCTCTTAGTACTTTCATAGGAATTGTTCATTATTTCCTCCTATGAAGAATTTGCACAAAAGGAGCGATTACATCTCGATAGACAACGGCAACAGAAGCCCTGACGTTTATTGCCTCGCGCTGCCCATACCATTTAATTTATATTACAATTATATCAGCTACTTAACAGCATTTATAAAATTATGAAATAAATCAATATTAATGTTATAACTAACTAATGATAATTCCGTATGCACGACGCATTAATCACTTGCGAAAGGATGGCATTTAACACAAAAACATAATAAACATAAAGGCATCTGAAGTGGACTTACTAATTTAAATAAATCTCCAGTTATATACTTTATACGAAAATGTCGCTTTTTGCTTTAATATATTTCTGAGAAGTTAAACAAAAGCTATATGTAGTATAAATAGCTCAGGATTAAATTATGTTTGGAAAAGAAAAAGTTTAATGTTATATCAACTATAGGTAAATGGTACGTATTCAATGTATTGTAAACCCGCATCAGATGTTCTGTGACCGGCATGCCCTCCTATTTCTTGTGACTTTATTTGAAGAGAGTTTTGAAAACAAATGATACTTCGTCATTGCAATTTTTTCGCCCCTACAGGCAGGCATGATTAGATTTAAAATCCAACGTTTCGTTTCTTTGAGTCATTATCAACGATATTTTTTTTAAATACGGACCTGCATTTTTTATTTTATATTTTGAAAGGGCTCGTCATTCTGAAAAATACACGTATCACACTTGCATAGTTACTAAATGCTACTATCTACCAAAAAATTGATAAAAATATTCATCAATTTCTATGGTTCTGTAAAGTAGGTAACACACTAGCCTAGAGAATCAAGTAAGATACATATTCAAATTGAAAATTCTTCGTTTTAATCGCAGGCCCGTAGTTAGGCGTCGGCCAAAGTGGGCACGGTCACATTTTCAACATCATGGACTTTATTAATATAATTTCGCAAATTTATAGCGTTGAATTTTGCATTACATTTTCAAAAATGTTCCCACGCCTCCCTCACTGACCCTCGTTGCGTTTTACGAGTTACGACAGCCGCTTTACATTACACGCACCTTTCGTCTGATAAATAGGAATATGTTTGCCTCCTAAAGCATTTCTTGCCTACTCAAACACTAATGCCCAGTACGCCTAACATTTTTTGCACATTTTTGTTTATTGTTCATTTTGCGGTGGTAGCGTAGCATCTAAGCAAGTGTGTTACATGTAATTCTTCATAATGATGATCCCTTTTAAAATAAAAAATACAGGTCCGTATTTTAAAAAAAATGAAGTTGATGATGACCCC